GTGCTAAGACCGTGATCTCAAAGCAAGGAATTGGTTAATTAGCCTAAACACACGATCTAGGTGTCCCATCTGAAGGGTAAGGCGTCATCTAATTCAGCGACGTACGGTCAGTAATAATTGCGGCGAAACCGAATTCCACGAACTTCACCTGCGTTTTTTCAGTACTCACTATTGGGTGGTCACTATTGGACGTGGTCAAACAGTATGAATACGTAGACCGTGGTTCCATAACAATAATGGACAGAATTAAAGGAAGGCTTACGATCAGATTGGACCTTGGGCAGTTAGCAACATAGGATGGCACAAAAAGGGCAGTAGGCCATCGGACAAATTAAACGGGGAAATGTGCAATTCAAAGTGAACCAACACGTTTGATAGCAAGCACAGAAATGAATATTAACAAATCGTCTATAGAAAAACGGTTCATATAGGGTCGACTTTGTATAAAATAGAACAGTTTAATATTGAAAATTGAGCGGTCATCGGAAGGCTAATAGATTAATCTGAGGAATGCAGAAATATAGATAACTACTTCACATACTTAACACTAATGTTCACTCAAAGTACGCCAGTGAATCCCTTTAGTATAGTATATAGTATGGTGGAGTGGAGTAAAGTACTTTGCACTTTGAAGTAATGCACTTTGCTGGACAAGCAGACGACATCCACTTCAATCCTCACAGCCAAAAAGGCTCTCACGACTGAGAAGTTCTTTATCCTTCCTCATCCCGCGCCATAAGCAACGAAAATCACCCTGGTCTTTTGGTTTGTGGCCCAAACAGATGTGGTCCTCTCCTTAATCAGTCCTGTGTATAACGTATAGCCAGTCAGGAGGCGTTCCTCACTTTGTATGTTTCGAAAGCAGAGCGACTCGAACAGGAACCAATGCAGATCGGCACGTTCGGATCCGTGCCCGAAATATTGCGCCCCCCCCCCATCCAGATCTGCTGCCAGACCTACAGAGATTTAAACAAAAAATCCACCTCTAACCAAAAGATTTATACCAACATTTTGTTTTCTAGGAATAACTGAATCTTTTGAAGATATCGTCAGGTTGCACACGACTGAGCAGATTTTGGCCACGTCGATGTTCGAAAGAAGTAAGGGGCGATCATCATTTCAGTTTTAATTTGCTCAGAACGGATAGACAGAAATCACGGTAACTTGCTGCAACGGTGGACTCATTCGTTTTTGTAACAAATACACTAAATTTCAGCCAATTTGCTACAGATCTTTAATTGTAGAGTTGCAAGCCACTGTCAACTTTAAACTCTGAGGCAAAAATGAATTGTTGTTCACGTCCTGAAGTGAGGACATATTTCGTTACCTTTTCCACATTTAACGGTGACATCGCTAACAAAAGATTCAACGTTAGTTTCGTGACATTCGTCACTCAGAAAGAGGTCACCCCGTCTGGTGACAAACGCCTACTCGGACAATGAATCTGAAATTCAGGCTACCTGGTCTGTAGAAACTGGAATTTGTACCAGGCAACAGAAACGACTGTGATGCGATTGTTGTTACACACTTCCCCTTGAGTCTATGCGTAAACGGAATACATCACGAGAGGTCAATAATGTTGAACCTTCATAGAAACGCGTAAAAGATTTAGCAGATATGAATTTCGTGTGCACACTTGTACGCATACACACACACTCACATCTGACGCCAAGTTCCTTGTGCAAACTTCTCATTAGTTTCAGCAGTTATTCCACTATGAAAATAGTTTATCACAACCCATTGAACATTAGCTTTGTACAGTGTTAGCACTACCCATCTACGTGAGCAAACCTAAGCCTTACCTCGTTTTTATTACGACTGATCCGCTTGTTGCTGTCATCAAAGTTTGGAGGGGCAGTTATTTCTCAGTGTGGCAACAACTCCAATTTCGTTATCTTTACCTACTGATCTGACACACGAATGTCTTACCTGAATGCATGAGAGTTGTGGCAAACGACAATCGGTTTCAACTACTCATGAGTAGTGAAGAAATGCAAAAGGATTCTTCGCAGCGATGGGCTAGAACACTGTGGTAGTGACAGCTGGTAGCGGAGTCGAAAAAATAGTTGAATCTGAATGGCTTTGTATCCCGCCCGACCATCTTCATGTGGCACGGCTACGTTTGATCCTGTTGTGAATCAGCCAGCATATCCTAAATGCTGATCTCTCTCTGGGATCTAAGCAAGCTGGAGTCCGTTCCCGGTTTTTGTGAGGAGCTGACGCTTTCAGGAGGTCTCTTTATTTTTCATGCGTTATCCTTATCTAGATTTTCCGCGTCGTTCAAAGTTTCGTAGATCAGTTCCAATGGGCAAACGTTTTGCCAATCACTGCTCCATTGGCTAATCAAATCCAGTCATCACTCGCATTTGAACAGTCGTCCTCTTGTCCTGGAGTAATTATCCTGGCGAGTCCAGACCAAAGGTGAAAGCACCGGACTCGAGTTTCGCTCTTATAAGAGCTCATCAGCATGGCATATCCTTTGTCATGTTGGGGTATAAACTCCGGACATCAGACATGCGAGGCAAATGTGTTAAAACTACTCCACCAGTGCCCGTTGGCCGCACCCGAACCATCACGTCTAAACAGGCTTTGGTGTGCACGTTTGAGTGATGTGGTTGCCTTGCCCGACATTTCTTTTTAGCTTCCTACCGTCCTTTGTCCATGGCCAGACGTGAATTTAACGATCTGATGGTTTTCATGCAAACTTCTGTTCTTCTAATGCCCCCAAAACGCGCTCCAGAGTTGTTTCGTGGCTTGATGCCCATCTTGCATACAGAAGCTAATTTTACACAGATATATTTACCACCTACCATTGTAGACACTGCTGTGCTTTCCCAAGCACCTACCGTCTTTTCTCCACATCATGTTTTCTATGGCTTCTGTGTGATTAGGTTTTGATAAGCCACGTCTGGCTGACCAGGTTGACCAGAATGAATACCGCAGCAATGAAATGACCTGATGTGTATCATCACACAGCATGTCTGATTGAATTATTGGTCTACTTAGTACGAAAACTGACGTATCTTTGAGAGGAGATAGCAAGTACGGAATTCCGCAGCTTCTCTCTGTTATCCAGATGCAAAAATTTAGGCATTCAAACCGTCTGTACCTAAAATTGACATTATGAGCCCAGCAACACGAAAAATCCGAAACAAAAGTAACGCCACGTGTACACCCATAATGTAATATAATATACATATGTATATGTATATGTATATATATATATATAATATGGAATGAAAAGGTCATATGCTGGATGAGCGTTCCAAAGGACTGCCAGTTTCTCAACATATCGCAATTTGTCAGTGCGCAGATGGAATCCCCACAGCTCTGGATCAGCACACTACCCATTTCATCAGTAAGCAGAAACTTGCCACGTCAAAGTTGTAACCTTGAAAATTATGGCCTTTCTCAAGGTCATCTATGCACTTCCCCAAAATCAACCAATACCTTTGAATACACCAGTTTTAGTCGGTTGTTTGCAGTGGTCAAGCCCATTTCATCTAAGGGGGTGTACCGCCTTATTCTCAGTATCTTCGATCGCTATAATATACGACATCCCCCGTTCGACCCGACTAATCATCCACCCTCCCGTTTTCTCACATAGGGCTATCTCTTGAGTCACGGGGAAACGGGCCGTCACAATCATGGGAAGAAGAAATTGCCTGTGGAAACCGGAATGAAGTAAAGATCGGTTTGATACCTCGACCGTGGAAGCTGGAACTACGACAATCCGACACTTGGAACACTTCGTTTCCATCAATCGAGGTTGGTCTCAGTGGAATGCCTTTTCTTCCAGACGGCTTTCAAGGTTCAGCGGTGCGAGATACCAGAAACTCAAGTTCATTTAGTGCGGTTAGAACAAATGAAAGTGGAAATTTCCCGCAGACGTGTACGGTGATTCTGGAGATACGGTGACTATTCTTGAGTTAAGCCTACATCTTGACGGGACGATCTCGCACTGCTTCAGCTGCCTCCAAGACCAAAAAACACGATGGTGAGTATTCTGAACCACAAGCATTGGGTGGTACTGATATGCCTGCCAGTAGAGTGCAAGAACAATTTTCACACCCCCTCTGTTCCTCAAATGTCTTGGAGGCAGGCTCGAATGCTGAACTCAGTGACCAAGTGTTGAGGTTCCAGACAGAGGAGTTTGAGTGACGCCAAGGTTTGATAATCTCGACTACCAAAAGGAAGAACTGGGCTCGAAAGTTCATTGTAGTAAACAAAATTACGCAACAAAGCTCAGCTATCCGGTTCATTGTAGTAAACAAAATTACGCAACGAAGCTCAACTGTCCGCGTTTGTGGTGTCAACACGTGCGCAAGTCTGTCACAGCGCATGTCAAAGGTCGCACACCAAACAACGGCTAGCGGAATGTTGGCTCTGTAGAGTGGGTCGCGGTCGTCACTCCCGAGGGCAGAATTATGATTCTGATTGACGGTGCGATTACACAGACCGCGTGACATGAGGTCTGCAAACCGGGCAGATACGCACATTCACACGCAGGCACGCATGCTGATATGCAAGTGTCGGATGGGACGACTTTTGAGGTGAGGTGAACGGCCGGTACTGATGGGCAAAACGAGTGGAGATCAAAACTACATGGCCGGAGTAAGCAAATGATTGGGCGACTAATCATGTGATCAAGTTTGATTCAGTACCCAGTTGAGTACCCAGGTTGAGTCCGTTCAACGTAAAATTTCCCACAAAGTCGACTCCTTAGGTTTTTTCATTGCAGGGAGGTAACAGCTTAGAATCCGATATCTGTGAAAAGCGATGGTGTGGTGTCTGACGAGAAAATGCAGTTTGAAAGTTTGATTTAAAGAAAGGAAACAGCAGCCCTGGTAGAGACCATCGTCTGGAAAATATTCTGCACCTTGGGGACCCGATGCGGATATGAGTACGGCCTGCCACGAGAAATACATTACGTCGCTCGGGTTTTCAAGGGCCGACAAGAGCGTTCGGGACATCACAAGAAATGTGGTGCTTTACGGAGGCTAATCCCCAATCTCTTGATAACCGGGTTCCAGTGGATGGCGCACTCTGAATAAAGAAAGGAGAACTCTTCCCAGAACTATTGCCGACGTCTCCGAGATCGGTTGCGTTACCGTGCTAGATGCGAACCGGTGGGAGACCAGTATGTACCACTCTCCATGGACAGGATCAGGAATATTAACTCGATTTCCTATAGAAGACTGCCTTGAAATGGTACATCAAAAAGAATCCTGACAATGTCAGGCACCCCTTCTCTGTTCCGAGTTAACGGATCACTTAGGACCGCCTGACCCACAACCAGCTGCTGTTCCCGTGGAACCCCTTTCCACTTCATACTTCAAGGTTCTTATTTGAATAACTTAGAAGTACTCGCTGTGTAGCAAACTGCTTTTGAAGGGATTATTTCCCATAGGTAACAAGCTACTGTTTCAACTCCAAACATGAGGCCAGTAAGACTTCACTGTGCCATTTCCCTCCCTCCAGTTGGGACACAATCTCCACCCAGAGGAGCAATCACCCGGAAGAAATGAACAAATGTCCCTCGTCTGGATAGCATTTTGTTAAAGGAATTCGGCTTTTTATGTGCTTTTGCTTCCAACATATAAGGACATTATTGTTTCACAGAGTGCATGCTCTTTGACTATTAGTGTGGCTCTGCTCACAACTATGCGGTCAGTGGCGAAGGCATTGAGGTAACTCATAGTAGACCAAGTCCACAAGACCATTTCTAGTTAGTTTCAGTTTTGTTCAAGAACAATACAGAGCAACGGGTCGAGTCACCTGAGCTACACACATACGTGTATATCAAAATGAAATTGGCTTTGATCTCCAAAGTTTCTGTTCTTTCTGGGGAGTCAAAACACCTCTATACACGCCGCCAAGCAATTCTATTCAATTAAAGTCCAGAAATCTTTTAATCCGGGCACACGCATTCAGCATACATCCAGCAGAATTACAGATGATGGTTACTTGGACATTCGTTCATGAGCTTCGATTTCCTCTCTGATAACCGGATACCTGTTACCCTAAAACATACGTATATCCGGATGGCATCATTAGGCTCCTGAATACAGAAGCCGCATTACAGTGTCATGAGATAGCACCAACTCGTGGTATGTCCCACAATTTTTGTGTTGATTTGGGAAAGCTATTGCAGTATATTGCACAGCCGCAGCATTTTCGAGGTTCCAAGTCGATCACTCGCAACCCAGACACAGCTGTTTCATTTAAATTAGGTTTATTTTATACTACTAATTTCGCCAAGTAGCTTAAAATGATAACTTTAAAGGACCGCAGCACTCAGGACTGTGCCATAGAAACCACCTGGAGCTATGACCCGGGTTTTCCGTAGTTTATTTCATCACTGTCCCTGAGCACATTGTCTGTCATCAAAAAGAGGTTTTAAACTTCATGTTTAGTAAAATGTGTCATTGGCGACTCGCTCTCCTACAAAAAGGAACTCCCAACCGATGTACCATTCCTTCACAGTTCCAATATGCTTCCACTAGAATGGCCGTACTTCAAAAGAGACCGAGAAAATTCACTAAGTTTCATCACTCCCCAAATTAGCCATGCTTTCATGAGTTTAGAAACACAAACACTGTTTGATAGGGTAATCGGTTTCCGCTTAGCTATTTCTAGCCAAGACGCTGTGCGATACAGAATCATGGCAGTGGGCTTTCTTAAGCTTGGCTTATATCGAGATGCGTTCCTTGGAAGTTCACCTCAACCCTGGTTTGTCTGGATGTTCCATTTATCACTAAGAACTAAGAACAATGCCTGAGACATCCGGGCCATCCCTCATAATCAAATTCACCTTGTTCACATCAGTCAATGCGACGTTACGGGGCGCTGTTGGGTAGTGTAAAGCTGTAAGGTCTATGTGCAGTTCATCTGTGCCACAGATAGGTGACAATATGCATTCAGTATACAATCTTTGAGATGTAATACCCTTGCCATACCATCCGAAGAGGGGAAAGGGCCATCGGGTTGCACAAGCCTACCTAAAAATGTGCAGTCGCAACACTGAGGTTGAGTTCGAACCTTCCGTTCAGTAAGTTCGCTCCCTAACCACTGAGCTACCCCGAGAAGATTGCATAAGGGATCAAATTTCAAAAGTCACGACGTTCGATTCCCCTAGCAAGATAGAAAAAGCTACTCCGACCGAGCACATGGCGACACTTAATAGCACTACTTTAGCCAACCTTCCCAACTCCAGATTGTCAGAGATATGCTCAAAAGACTAATCCAACGAGCTGAGAACCCTAGCAACTCAGATGGATGCGATCACGTGGATTTACCCAACTCTCTGTTTCTTTCACTAATTCCGTGCTCACAAGCAGTCTAAGCAAAAACCATCCTTTCACATCTCGAGGGTGATGTACAGACAATACACATGGTCAAGTGAAAGTCATTCAACTTCTGGAAGTTATATTCCTCATTTAAGTGGAATAACCGAGTTCCACAGTTTTAGGTGAGCGCGCACACACACACACATCAATACTTAGATTTCAAAATACCCCTGTTATTACAAGTTATGTTTTTAGTCGGTGATTATCGTCCTCATCCCTGATCGGTATCACTTCCCCAAATTACAACTGTGCAGTCTTTTTGGTAAAGAAAGGGGTATTCAGCGAAATGTCGACAGGTTTTCGGGCTAACACCCGCGACCAATGGGGGGAGGCTTAGGACTGGATCTCACCTCTGTATTCTTCTTCTGTCAACGTTGCCCTCGCCTAAAGTGTCCTCACTCCGTTATCACACATTTATTCCGGTTAGTCCACAGGAGAAGAACCGGCCCCAAGTTTCGCTCCTGTCAGAGTTTACCGTCGATTATTGTTTGGGACTCGAACCTTGATGTAAACGCATAGCGCGTTACTGCCGGTGAACCTGAATTGTCACATTTGACCAAGCAAACATGTTCGTGATGGGTCTAACCAGGACCAATGAGGGAGAAGAATTTACTGAGAATACACTCATTAGCAGTAAAGTTTGGTTTTTTTACGAGAGACTCATCTGGATCCTAGCTGAATACCTCATCTGTGATATTCTTCAACTGAATTTCATAAATATCATATCACAAAGGGGGGTTCAGCTGAGATTCAGGTGAGTCTCCCATGAAAACCAAATTGTTATGCATAGGAGTGTGGTTGTCGAAGTTGGAGCAATTAGTATTCGACTAAAACGCAAGGGAACTCGGGGACTTAGCCTGTCGGATGAGCCCCAAGAAAGGTGAAACCGTTCGTGGTTTGTCGAAGGGTTTTCAGCAACCTTATGAAAAGAGCTCAGTTCATTCACTCAGGGTCTAATCTTCCTTTTGATTAATCTGTTTTGGAAAGTCACTCATAATATCTGCAACGGGGCCGTGGGTTACACAATCTGATGAATACATCCACTTTATGTCCCCGGCTTCCCCGCTACTGAGGTGGTCAACCATGTAAGTGGCACCTGGGATGAAGAGTAGCTTGTCAGCCATTTGCGGTTTGTATAGCTCAGGTAACGTGAACTTCACTAATCTCGCAGACAAACAGACACTGGCAAAGTTCTGTGACCTTCAAGCCTAGCTCTTTCGACCCGAACTTCACGACATCATCCATAACTTGGGAGGTGGGCGGCAAAGTCAGCTCTGAGTGGAGGCAACTGCTTAATCAAGCATTATTTATCTGACAAATCCCGCTTTAAAATTACCAGCCGTTATTCCTCATTGTTCAGATGATTCACGGCACTCTATGTTACATTATAGTCATTCGCGATCCGTTTGATCACGTTTTACTTTTAATCTCTAAACAGTGACCTGTATAGAGTCCTTGTATGCACTCGTGAGCTCCCCAAGATCAGTGGGTAAACGTGCAGAAACTACACTGTGTTCTCCCAACTGTGGCAAAACAAATAAGTGCACTGAACACGCAACATAACAGAAAGTAAACATGAACTCTATTCCTCCCCATTCAGATCGACTTTTGTGTTCTCAATAAAGATTTCTTTCTGTCAGTGAAGCTGCTGAAAAGCCGAGAAGCAGTGCACACCTGTTTCAGGTTCGTTTGGAAAAACCAACAGCAGGCATCTCACGAAACTCAGAGGGTTTCGAACCCATGACCTCCGACCAGTGATTGAACACTGAATCATTTTGCCACGAAGGACTGGTCAGTAGTGTGACTAGCTTCCATCAGTGATGACTCTTCTTTTGGTGACGAGTCATTTGTAAATCAACTGCGAAGACCACCGGTCACCTGACCAACAATTCATAGACGCACCCGAGTTACCAATATGCTTGGAAATTTCAAATATCTGAACCAACTTGTAAGGACATTTGTACTGATCACACTAGCTCGGAGATGAAGTCATCAGACTTTATCACAGTCGGATATGGAACAAACACGTCACCTGATTGAACTCATGCCAACATCAACGGATAAAGATGTACTGTCCATATGACCAAGTAAATCCGCTTCACCTGCCCGACTTAAGCCTCCAAAACCCTTGAAGTTCGCTGCCTTGGTGGTTGGACCGTCAGCAGTGAGCCAGAAATTTTCCATGCTCCCCCCCCCCCCGTAGTCTACATGCGCAGTACCCTCTATGTTCACTGATCACAGTCAGGAAAGAGGGCAGTTGTCTTCCCCCCTTTATTGTTTACTCTGGTGCAACCGGTCGATTCATCCTCATCCCAGGCGTAGCTTATCGACACTGGGATCTCACGGATTCCAGTCGGAGAAAAAAAACATGACAGGCTGCAGATAATTGCGCTGCGACATTTATGAGGGAAAAAATTCCGCTCGTCTCTGTACTGTCAAGTGGTAAACAATTAGGCGAATTGTTGGATTGACCTCTCAGCAAGCACGTATTCTTCACCAGTGGGAACAAGAACGAAAACTGAAAGTGTTGTTGTCAGAACTGGTGCATCTCATTGTTGTAAGAATCCCTGAATTGCCATTCGGCAGTCATCAGATCAGATACAGGTTTCCCAACGGTTGTGCTGTCGAAAGTCGTGAAAACAGTGTGCGAATGCGTAGAAAAAACAATTGTTCTTGCTGGATTTCAATATTTTTCCGACATTGTAACCGAACTGGCAGTGTATCAACAAAATCAGCTGACTGGATCGCTTGTTTTCAACTTACCAGCCGTATGAGAATGAATATGCAATGCACAAAGTAAATTACTGGTTTGCATAGCTCTTAAGACCTTCCGTCTATGTGTTGCTACACGCGCGAGATGGCTCAAGATAGCACGAAAAAACAATTGTTCTTGCTGGATTTCAATATTTTTCCGACATTGTAACCGAACTGGCAGTGTATCGACAAAATCAGCTGACTGGATCGCTTGTTTTCAACTTACCAGCCGTATGAGAATGAATATGCAATGCACAAAGTAAATTACTGGTTTGCATAGCTCTTAAGACCTTCCGTCTATGTGTTGCTACACGCGCGAGATGGCTCAAGTGGTTATAGCACGAATTTACTGACCGGAAGGTCCGTGGTTCGAACCCAACCTCTGCCTCTCGACTTCCCCTGTCTAGGCTTGGGCAACCTGGCAGTATCCCAGCCCTCGTGCTTCCTTCGGGTGGGATGGCAGCTAGGCACCGGAAGGGTGCTGCAGCTGAACGATACACACGCGCACCTCGAACAGCAGGTGACTGAGGTTTGAATTCCAGTACGACCAATGATATGCACCGCTGGTGATGCTTGGTTCAGATCACTTCAGTCAATCACTTATAAACCGAATGCAAAGAGTACACCGGTTCCACAGTTTCGGTCGTCGAAAAACAAGAGACCAGAGGAAATATGACCAACTACTGGAGCCGATAACCTAATCGTTTACTTGGGGTTGAGTTGTTCTGCATGTCTTTCCAAGTGAGAATTTGGAGAGCTACTCACTAACGTCTCGTTTGACGCGGGAACTCTACAACCCACCCAGACTGACAGGAGGTTCAAACGAAGTTCAAGAGGAACCATCAAATGAACCGAACCAGAAGAACTAGACCCTAGGCTGGACCCAAACACATGTAGGTTTCCCCACTGGCCCAACACTTGTTCAACCACTCTAACACACTAAAATCCCTCGGCCGACACCCGACGGAGATTTAGCTTGACTTAGCTGATTGGTTCTCCTTCCGCCTTGACTCTCGACCAAACTCGGGACCTGGTCACTTAGCCTGACGAAGCTTCTGTGTCAAAAGCGAAACGTTGCCCAGCAATAAATCTACCGATTGTCACCAAACTTTTTCGAAAACTCTACAACCTGTTTAACTGATCCGTACCTGTCACTGCCTTCAACCGTCGATGACTCCAGTCTCCTGGTCCTCATCTAGATGGGTGACAAGTGGCGATCTTGCTTCTATCAACAGCCACCTTGCCTACCTCAGACTCGCTATTCTGATGCTCCCACAAGACTCGGCCAATACTTTGAAGACACTGACGAACAAGTTTCGAAATTTAACCCGCACAGAGACCACCTTTATGACCCACAAATTAAAGTGGACGGGGTTTCCGCTGTTCCGTAGGCTGCTACTTGCTGCCCTGATGTTCATAATTCGAGGAGTTACTTCCTACTCAGTTCCCCAGAACTGCTATAAATGTTCAGATAAATTAATTTATTCACGATATCGATCGAGTGACCTGCAGTCTTGAAGTTTGGGCTAAATCCCATTTAGTCTAATAGCAACCTTCGCATTTTGCCGCTGTAGTGCACAATCAAACCGTTTGACAGGATTGAATGGTATTGATGAAGGTCTAGAACCTAAATAGATTGGAACTTTCATAAAAGAAACTACTCATAAGGTTGCTGAAAACTCTTCGACAACCCACCACCGGTTTCGCCCTTGTTAAGGCTCATTAGGTGGGCGCAGTCCTCTAGTTTCCTAAGGTTCTATTTGAATCCAAACTGGACTAATTTCCGCGAATACACTCATTTACAAACCAGTTTGGTTTTCAGGGCAGACCCACTGAAACGAAAGGATTAAAACTGTTTTCGAATAGCCTGTGAAATGAATTGGTATCCAAAGTGATCCCCAGACTCATGCTTGTTTCGCAATCCATACATCTGCACATTCTCAAAAGCTACACGTGAATGTGGTGAGACTGACTAGAGTACATAAATTGGATGATGATGATGAGATGAGGATGAAGATGAAGATGATGATGATGATGATGATGATGATGATGATGATGATGATGATGATGATGATGATGATGATGATGATGATGATGATGATGATAATGCACAAGTCGATGCAGTAGTGCTCAATATTGAGAAACTGCTCACTGCGTCGAGTAGAGTGGTGTGGTGCCTAAACCCTACATGATTTCCATCGAATTCTCGACGTTCTACAGTAGTTGTCCTCATAGGAGGTATGAGCACTCTTGGACGAGCACTACAGTAGAATAACGCAAGAACTAATGTCCTTTCATCATCGGTGGATACGTGGATTAGTCGTTTCAAGGGGTTGGACGTTTCTCTTCTATTATCATTCTGAATGCATCTTCTGTTTAAATTTAGACAAAAAAGTGAGCCACTTATAGGAATTCCTCTGTTCCGTGTCACTTTGACATCGCGATTATTACCGCGATCTGGTTCGTTCTCATTCCCGAGGATTGCATCAGGAGGACATTGAAGTTACATACCGAATAGAATATAGTTTTCGTATCTTATTATACCACTCGCTAACTTCTAATTGTCTGCATGTGGAAATGACCAACGCAAGGAAAGATGACCGTGGATGAGTCGGCAGATCGAACGGGACTAATTCTTCGATAACTCGTCGAACGAGTAACTCTGCCTTTCCAAGTCCTAGGCGATATGTGCCTGTCATAGACCTGTTCACCACTGGCTTTTGTGCAACCAAAGAGACTGGGCAATAGGCTCTGGCGACAAACTGACACGCGTCAATCGTCCCCACATTGGATGAACCTGCGTGTAAATTCGCACCATGCGTGTCTTTCATTTTCACGACCGACTTTGTGGGTTTTCTCAAACTGACGAAACAGCAGGTGGTCGGACAGGGAATACGCAGTGGACAATTAAAGTACCGTCTGTTTGATGTAAAGCGTTTTGTGTCACTTCGATTGACACGTGTGTGCGGTGGGGGGGGGTTGTTGGGTGTGTGTGACCGCCTTGGAATCCGTGCACGAGTGATTTCTGATGGAACAAATCACGTCGACATCACCGTCTGACGACACTAAATTGGGTCCACTAGACGAGCGGAATTCACATCCGAACGACCGGAATAAGTGCTGCTTAGCCAGGGTTATCACGCGATTCCTGATCACTCCTATATTGCTTTCCCCCATACAGAGCTCAGGAGATCGGGGTAAATTTCGTCCACGGTTGTTTGGACCACTGTCCAGGGCACTGATATAAATCACATACAGCAAATAGTTATCGTAAGTTGGTGCGGTCTGTAGCGATAGAAAGTTCCTGAGGTATGATTAAAACTTCCCAAGATGGGTCAGTTGCCAAACTCACAAAGCTGAAGAGCAGGAGCCAGACGGTCTACCCAGCTATGCTATGTACACAACAAAGCCTGTTAAGCCGTCCCATGGTAAAGTTGACTGCCTAGACAGATTGACAATGAAGTGAAGGCACTCAACAGAAAGGATATTCGGGTTTAGAATCTTCAGGCTTGTCATCAAATCTCTCGATATTGGTCCGGTGCTTCTACTTTCCTAGCTATGTCGATATTAACGTTGCATATTCTGCGTCAATTAATGAACACTTAGCGTTCGAGATAGCTCAGGCGCGAATAACTGACCGGAAGTTCGTAGTTCGAACCCGATCCCTGCACTCGAGCGCTCCGGAAGTTCGTAGTTCGAACCCGATCTCTGCATCTCGAGCGCCTGGGGTTGGGCAGCCTGGCAGTATCTCAGCCCTGATACCTCCTTCAGGTGATATGTCACCCAGGTACCAAAAAGGTGTCGCACCTGGACGATTATTACTCCCGTGATTTCGCGATTATGCACAGCATCGTGGAAGGAAAAAACCGGTTTGTTAAGACAGAAGACCTAACTGGCCACCAACGTTCCCATGTGCCCGCTACATGATGTTCTTTATCGTGAATGGCGTCTGAGATTGGAAGTGTGTGTGAAAAAATTCTAGCTGCTCCTTCCCCCCCAAAAGGTCGTCTTGCTATCGCGATTTTGAACACATTTTCTTGGCAAGCAGATCCCTGAGAGCAGTTTCTCAATGGCAACAGTGCACTCAATACAAAATGCGAGTTATCTGACAAAAGAAACCCCAGTTCGGCTTGATGCAGTCTACTAACCGAACGGTACCTTTTGTCACGCTCCGACAAGCCCACATCGGTGCATTACTCCCACCACAATACCGACACCGTTTTTATTCGTAGTGGACCACACAGCTACACCAAGACAACCAAGCATCTTCCCGCAACTTGAAGAGGGTTGGCACGGATAAAGAGTACGTTTTTTGGCCATCTGGAACCAGTTGACAGGATCATTATGAATAGCTTTCATTGTGTTCGAAGTTAACAACAAATGCACCGCCCAGTGACCAAAGTCCTTCCCAAAACAAAGACAAACCGACCACCTGACAAACCATTGTTTTGAAGCTCTTCCTTGGCCAAAGATACCAACCAGATTCTTAAGCCTTTTGCTAGAGTATGACATGCTGGGTTTGATGTCGTCCAAGATGAAACGTAATTGGAAGTCAGAAAAACAAGTAGAATATAAGGTTGCTGGAAACTCGGTGACTGCGTCTACCTGAGGCGCCCCAAGAAAGGCGAAACCGGTCGTGGGCGGTCCAAGAATTTTCAGCAACCTTGTGAGTAGTAATTGGCAGTCATCTATATCTGTTGTACGTCGCAGAGGTACGAATATGTCACAATTAGCAAAAAGATAAACGCATCATTTAGTCAAATATCAACTCCGATCCTCTGGTCAGTAAATTAACTGGACCGACATCCCACCACATCTGTTCTGTATTACCACTGAGGATGAAATTGATCGATAGTCGACATCCCATAGGTTGGGTAAGTGACATCCAACCTTTTCACCATTGGTAAAATTGTGGTGATAAACATGCGTGGCCTCGCAATTTCGCCACGCACGGTACATAGAAGCATCATCGATGTTAACCTCGTGAGTCGTTATGGCGATCAGAACCTACGACCATCTGAATCGGTTTGACAACGACCGGTCGAGTAACTTTCACTTAGACAGCATACAGCCCCACCCATCCTTCAGCCGCGTCAAGCCACACCACATGGTCACGTGTTGACTTGCTCCTTTGGTGATGACTTCTCAGACAGAAAGCACAAGCAACTTCTGTTCCGAGTTCGTTGATAGCACGGGCAGATTTTGAACACTCGGGATTTAGCAACGTTTCAAGCTGGGGTCAGGGGTTTGAATCGTCCTAGGGGCTCAGTAGACGCGCAGAGCTGATGATTCCCGAAAGAGATCAAACCACAATTCTATGGTTTCAAGCACTTCCAAGCACGAACTTGTATGACGATCATGACGGAGTAGCTCTCATTTGGACATCTATTGAGAAGTGCCCCCCCTAGGATACACGGTGAAACGTGGGTTCGAGTCTTACCGACCAACAACATCTTTCCGCAGACAAGTTCCGTTTCCAAGGCACAGTACCGTTTCCTTTCAGGGAAGAAAGTGACCGAAGCGAAGTAACATGCAGCAAACGTATGCACACCGGATGCTCTGGGGTGAGTGATGTTCAGTGCTCCAAACTTGTGCCACGCCGCGGTGCGTGTTGTTTAAGTGTAGCCTCCCTTCGCCTCCCGACATCACGTACAATGAGTCTCCAGAATATGATAGCCCTGAGGTAACGAGAAGTGACCCCGTAGACTCTGAGGCCCATTTCGCAAGCCCGCTAACAGTTGGTGCCAGGATTGCAAAGAAGTCATTTGGCCACAAGCTCCTCTGCGAAGTCGTTTACTAGCGAACACCAACTGAGTAGTTGCATGCTATTGGACAGGAAAATAGACGACCCGTATGCACACAGTTTTTGAAAACTGAGCATTCCCTCGCGTCTTCTTGAACTTTCATGGATACTAACTGACTATTAACAACATTGCAAAGCAGTTTCACATGTCCCGTAATAAACCTCTCCTTCCGTTAGACGCGGGGCGGAGGTTCGACATGATCACAGACTACTCACGTGCTGCAGCAGTAGTATATGCTCTCACACAAGAAAGTCACTGAAATTGGATGCAGCGCACATGTCTCGGCTACAAGCTATGTCAAAAAGCATTCCAGAGATGAAAATCAAGCTGTTGCTACTGAGGAAACATGCAACAATGTGTGATAGTTCCGAATAGTCCAGGTCCTCCCTCCCTCTGACAGGTTGCAAGCAGGACCGGACCAAGAAAAGGTTGTGTTAGTAGCATCTTCCTATCTGTTGCGGCCTCCTTGTGCATCAGATCCTAGTAGCATCTTCCTATCTGTTGCGGCCTCGCGTGCGTATTTCTCCAGTGCAGACGGGATGATGCTGTACTACAATTGCAACAGTCTTCACCTCAGTAGAAACGCAAGCTAAGCAGCCCCCGAAAGGTCAATCTTTAACGGAGTCTTTCTGAGTCATATACATTGATCTGAGGTATATTCACGACGTAAAGGATCTATCAACGGAACGTCACAAAGTAAGAAAGTGGGCTAACTATTAGACTAAGTATAGAACTATGCGGCATCATTTGTGTATTTCTGAGTGTGTGATGACGAGATGTAGCCCGTGGAATAGGCCGCGGAATCCCGAGCTAAGCTAAAGACACGGGTCTCTGGTGATCGCCTCCCCGGAGTCAAAATGCTTTGATAAGGCTGTCGTACTTCGTCGAGTCTGAGAGATGGTGATGTATCCGAAAACTAAACACTGGCAGTGGTGGTGCGCTTTGAAATTAGCAGTAGCCATCCTAGCGGAAAAGAGACGGCTAGCCGCTCTTGTTCAGGTAGGCGGACGTAACCCAAATGGTTCTGAATTCTGCACACTTTCATGGAGTTCTTCTTGAATGGGATGGATGATAGCTGGAACGCGGTGCTGTAGGAAGACACCGGCGCCAAACTACTGACAACATTTGTCTTTCTCGTCCGTTACAACTGGGACTGGGCGACGAATGCTTCATATAGCATCTTGTCACGCATCCTATAGATAGTGTGATCTCCATCCTGGCAGTGACAAACAAAATTGTGATAAGTCTTGAATGTAGCATCTTGTCACGCATCCTATAGGTAGTGTGATCTCCATCCTGACTAGCAGTGACAAAATTGTGATAAGTCTTGAATGTCGTCCGGTCAACTGCGCACATGCCTCCCATCAGTTTCGCATTCAAGTTATTCTATTGGTTAGAGCGCGAATTTATTGACCGGAAGGTCCGTGGTTCGAACCCAACCTCTGCCTCTCGACTTCCCCTGTCTAGGCTTGGGCAACCTGGCAGTATCCCAGCCCTCGTGCTTCCTTCGGGTAGCATGGCAGCTAGGCACCGGAAGGGTGTTACAGCTGAACGGTTAAAATTAATTAACTGCATGGTGGAATAGGATTGCTCCGCGCATACATGTTTAGACAAGCCGTTCTCACTCGCACAATGACGCTCTGCATGCGGTTCAACTTCCCTATACACAGGTGTGCGTAAATCATAGCTATCGGGTTATTTACACCTCATTGGGATAAAAGGTCATGTTCGCGTCATAAATGACAGCCGAGGTTGATAGATACTGCAAGTCTTGTGAGCTGATCCCCAATGAAGATGTCACCCCCTGAAAAGCTGAAAAGCTAAGAAGCACATGGGGGTGTTCTATCGACGTATTCTTTTGAGGTAAAAAAGCTGAAAAGCTAAGAAGCACATGGGAGTGTTCTATCGACGTATTCTTATGAGGTCGGGCTTGTAAGAAGGCTGTGGATAGCTTTTTCTGGCCTCTGCGTCCTCTCAACGGTCTTCCGGATACATGGTCGTGAATCTTATCTGAGCTCACACGCTACTAATCTGTGCGTCCTAGCTCAGATTTGCCAAACGATCTGTCAGTCACTGTGTGATCATCGTCTATGAGTTTAGCCCAGAGATGACGCTGGCATGCAACCGAAGACTGATCATTCGTCCAGTGTGTTTCCGCTAGCATTTCTCGCCTCTTTTGCCTCTTGTTCGCCATAAATTAATGTAACCGATCCCAGTTTCAGACTCGGAGGCCCATTCCATGTAGTGTTAGCTTTGGATGTCAATACACCGAATCCAATCGTCCTGTGTGTTGGACCATGCGAGAAATTCACCAAAAACAGAATGTTCCTAACATCGTTTCGTCCAATACGCACTATATATTTCCAGGGCGTGCCCGGGGATGTAGGGTTTGGCCCACCCAGGATCACACCTCTGTAAAGTACCAGTTGGTCAAGGGGCCAGAGTGAGGACCCAGAATCATGACAAGATCTGAGTGTTTGCAGGCCCATCAGAACTGCTTCAACCTTGAAGATGGTGTTGCTTGAAGATAGCATGAGTGAGCGAACAGGTTGACCCTATCCGCTAGTTGTGCCTTCTCAAATGTACATGCTCAAATCGACGCAAGGGTTTTTGCACCGACCGGATGAGAATTGCCCCGTTCCTCTCAATCTCCTCCAACTCTGGACGGGAGACAACACATCAATCAGCCTGTACTTTTGAAAAAAAATAGTCTAGTTGCTAGCCCATAGACACTGCTAATAGCTAGCCGCTCATCTTGTTACAGCGTCACCACACAGCAGGTGACCAATAACAATTCATCCAAAGTAAAATGCCCTGAAGGTATCACAACCCGTACTCCCCGTCTGTCAATCCACGACGAGTCTTTATTCACTAAAGGACCTGAAAGGTTTGAGGTTCCACTTCCCCACTGCTTTACCCACAAATTAAGCCTGGTTTTAAGGAACAACTATCATGTTTCCGTACAGGCAAAGGTACGACCCAGTGGCCTTCAAATTCTATCGTACGCGGAAGTGGAGTGGATGAAGAGTGGTAGATTGAAACTGCGTGTTTTGAACGGGCACGTTGTGTTCTCTATTTAAACCGAATACCCAGAATCTGTAGTTAGTTTGTGACCCCACACGAAACATTGTGGTTGACACAAAAGTCTCCCATGAGAATGCGGATGTGTCCTTTCCTGATTGCCTGATAAGATGGGCTGAGGACGGTTCATATCCGGGACTTGAGTTCCCATCAGCCCCTTGTTTTGGTCTTCTTTTCAGTGGAATAGATGCGGCCAAGTCCCCGAGTTGAGCATTCAAGTGTTAAGAGATATTAGAAAGACAGATAAGATGATAATCAATACTCATTTTAAGCAGTGTGGTGACGGAACGGTTCGTCCACTAGGTCTTTGTCTCATTTTTGTCCGACAACTCACACAGATTTTTGACTTTGTAGGGCTACAACCGGATGCTTCCTCTCAAACTTAGGTGAACTTGGGTGGTCACCCTGGCGTCAGCATCGACGGAACCTGCTCTGTCTACATGCTAATGAGGAGGTCTGGATTCAGGCTACCTGTGAGTGAAGGCAGCCAAGACTGTTTGACGACTTTGCATTTTAGACCTACGCGTACACACAAGCCTACATTCACTCAGGCACACGAATGCATCTCATGCGCATAGTGTGGTTAATCGAACACTCAGATCAATGTTGCTCCCATCCGCTCGCCGATCAGAGGGCATTAGGCCTTTCGCAACTCGCGATTGGTTTACATTGTCCTGTCGACTGGGCCACGCTTCACCGGTGACACACTTGACGTTCACGCATTCCAATAACTGGCACCAAGATTGGTTTTGAACGGGCACGTTGTGTTCTCTATTTAAACCGAATACCCAGAATCTGTAGTTAGTTTGTGACCCCACACGAAACATTGTGGTTGACACAAAAGTCTCCCATGAGAATGCGGAATGTGTCCTTCCTGATTGCCTGATAAGATGAGCTGAGGACGGTTCATATCCGGGACTTGAGTTCCCATCAGCCCCTTGTTTTGGTCTTCTTTTCAGTGGAATAGATGCGGCCAAGTCCCCGAGTTGAGCATTCAAGTGTTAAGAGATATTAGAAAGACAGATAAGATGATAATCAATACTCATTTTAAGCAGTGTGGTGACGGAACGGTTCGTCCACTAGGTCTTTGTCTCATTTTTGTCCGACAACTCACACAGATTTTTGACTTTGTAGGGCTACAACCGGATGCTTCCTCTCAAACTTAGGTGAACTTGGGTGGTCACCCTGGCGTCAGCATCGACGGAACCTGCTCTGTCTACATGCTAATGAGGAGGTCTGGATTCAGGCTACCTGTGAGTGAAGGCAGCCAAGACTGTTTGACGACTTTGCATTTTAGACCTACGCGTACACACAAGCCTACATTCACTCAGGCACACGAATGCATCTCATGCGCATAGTGTGGTTAATCGAACACTCAGATCAATGTTGCTCCCATCCACTCGCCGATCAGAGGACATTGGGCCTTTCGCAACTCGCGATTGGTTTACATTGTCCTGTCGACTGGGCCACGCTTCGCCGGTGAGACACACTTGACGTTTACGCATTCCAATAACTGGCACCAAGATTGGACGTGACTGGAAGAAACTCGCCCAAGTCAACGCCCCTACAACGCATACACAAACTGCTCCCCTATAAATGCTCCATGTGTAAATATTGGGCATACTTATTCGGGTGCGTTTCAATCCACGGCTTTGAGGCTTGGCGTATCCGATCAGAGGACCTCAGGTGACTTCAGGGTTACAACGGGTACACTTTCAAGTGGTGCGTATACTTGATTCTTCATAAAGCAGATTTAGCAGATGCTCAACCTACCGTAGAAAGTGTTGTTTCTTGTTCCACGAACGACTTTTGGCGAAAAGTCCGCGGGAGACATGACACGGCAACACGAGGTGATAGCGACCGTTAAACGGAGTGCTGTG